TTAACTTGACAGGTTACTTTTTTTTTTTTTTTTTTTTTTTTTTTTTTTTTTTTGGTTCTCTCTTGTAATGGTCTCCTTTTAGGGTTTTTTGTGTTTACTCCCTATAAGATTTTTTTATCTTGTCTCTTTTTAGGGATTTTATGTTATGGCCTCCTCATAGGTTTTTTTTTTTTTTTTTTTTTGGTTCTCTCTTGTAATGGTCTCCTTCCCTCTATTCTTGTTTTTCTTTTCTTTTTTTTTTTTTTTTTGTTATGGCTTCTCTCCAAGTTTCTTATGATTGTCCCCGATTTTTGCATGCACCGAGATCAGTATTTATAGTGCAAGAGTCTCATTGCTTACGAGAAGTAAAGTATCAATCAAACTTATTCCTTTTTTTTTTTGAAGTTCGAATTAAAATTGAATTTGAAAGCAGACAACTATCATTATCTTGAAAGTAAGAATTATCTTGAATGTAAGGATCATCTTGAAAATAAGGATAGAATGACATAAGTGCATTGTAGTCCCTAATTTCCTTGTAAGCTAACAAATCATATTTTTCATCGAAATAAATATCTGATCTTTTAATTTTATATTTTAAACCCCTTAAAAATTAAATTAAAAACCAATGAGCCAAAATTGGGTTACAGTAGTTGCCCCCTCTTTACAATGCTTACGATGCAAAGACATTAGAAAACTTATTTTCTTTTGACTTTGTATAGTAAGTTTTGTAAAGAAGAATCATTGTGAAAATCCTTTTCTTTTTTCTTTCTTTCTGTTTTTTTATTGATTCTTTGATTTGTTTTTTTTTTTAGAAGTGATCTCATTGTAATGGGTGATCTACCTAGGTGGAAAAATACAAAGAAGGGGTCTCATTGTAATAGGTCACCTACCTAAGTAAAAAGAGAAAGAAAAATAAGAGCTCGAAGGTACACTCAAAAGGATGGTTGAGGGCTCAAAAGCGCACTAAAAAAATGATCGAGAGCTTGAAGGCGCACTCGAAAGTTGGCGAGGGCTCAAAAGTGTGCTCGAAAAAGAAGCGAGGGTTCAAAGACGCTCTCAAAATGGAGGCAAGGGGTCAAATACACACTCGAAAGGAGGTAGGGTTAGTAAACGCACTACCTTGGATGGTTAAGAAAAGGTGTTGGAAAAATATAAAAAGATTTTTTTTTATGGCCTAATTCTCATGGATGGCCTACCCAGGTTAAAATTTTTCAAGGGTGCAAAATCTTCGAAAGCAATTTCAAACTTGGCCATTTAAAAGTGGCCATCCATTTGATGGATCCCGTAAAAGATTTCTCTTGTGAAATTTGCAAAACTCATTATTCAATGTCTCAAAGTTTAGATGATATGCATGCATCTTTACCTGATTTGAAATATAGACCTCCATTTCTTCTTAATCTTCTTATTTGCTTGATTGATGACAACTTGTTATCTCTGATTTGGGTCATCTTTATCATTTAGCTTGTAGCCTACTCAAGTTGGCCCATATAAGTCTCTTCCTATATTCGTTTACACAGCTTAGCTTTTATAGTGCCCATCATGACTCACTTGCTTGCTAGAGATTTTTCGTCTCATCAAATAATTTAAGAGGATTATTCATTAATCCTCGTCTCACTTTTAAAAATATTCGTTGTCACTTGCTGAAAGGATCAAGCTGCCTTTTATAAACCAAGATGCCTTATTGTCTTCTTATAAGAAATGTTCATCTCTTTTTCTAAAAGGGATCGATTTTTCCTTCTAAACATAATGTTGCCCCCCTGTACTAATCATTGCCCTTAGGTGTGCTTTGTCAGTAACTTTGCCAAATAATGGTTTTTAAGCAATCATTTTCTCATTTCTCCTATTTTCAGTTTAGTGAAGGAATATTTGTCTAGAATGAATATTGAAATCTTGATCTTGTATTTTGAAAACAAAAATAATTTTGATGTAAGTTTAAAAGCATTTGTTTTGAAATCTTGCAACTCTTTGGTTTTTTATTGTAAAAAAGATTATTTGCTCTTGTATTTGGTAATATTGTCTATAGTGAAAATATATCATGAAGAGACCTTTTGTTTCTTAAAGGTTTCCAAGGCGAAGAACTTGAGAAAAAGCTCGAGGTTTTGTTTGAGGAAAAATTTGTCTTTTATTAAACACCTATTTTATCAATATGAATAATAATGAGTAGTTTGTTCTTGATGTCATGACTCCTATGAAAAAGTACTATTTGCATTTTGAGAGTATTGTTTATTGTTCCAGATTGCCTGCTTACTTGATTAAAAAGGACTTCTATAGGCATGTAACATAAGCTATGGTTTTTGGGTATGAAAGAAAATGATTTATAAGGCTCAAAAAGTGTTTCAGGGTTTCAAAGATTAAGAATCACTATCAATAGGTGAATTCTTTATGTCTTTCATCATATCTTTTATCGTTTTTCTTTGATTTAGCCCTTTTTTTTTTGTTTTTTAGGGCATATTTTTTTATCTTGGTGCATTCATTCTTGTGATTTGTGCATGCCTCCTAGCATTTGAGTTTCATGGGCTCTTTTGCTTTTCTAGCTTTTTCATGACTTTTAAAATTCTAACTTGCCCTAGTGTCAAGGTGTGATCCTAATCGGGATTTTTCATGAAAGAAAAATTATTCAAGCTCAAAAAAGAATTGCAAGGGATATACTTTTTAGAATGTGAAAGGAATAACAAAGATGACATTTCCTCATTTCAAACAAAAGCAATTAAGATTAATAAACTTTGACCTTGTCCAATGTGATGGTTTGGTATTTGCAAAAAGATGCATTTCTTGAGTGTATGAGCAATAAGTTCACTACATACCATTATTCATACATTTAAAACAACATGTCTCAAGAGTCATGATGTGAGGATAATAGTTCATTTTATATTCGTGCATTTTGATTTAGAGTTTAGTCACCTCAATAAAGGAGTTGCTTGATTCATGTGTCATTCTACAAGTAGAATGTTATAAATATTGCTTTAAATAAACACCAAATTATTTTTGAAATCAAAATGCAAGTTCAATTTTTAAAATTCCAATGGAAAAACAGATTCTGGTAAAAAATATGAATTAAGTCTATGAGATCACATAAGGCTTCAAAAGTGTATTTGTGAGTTCTTAGAGGGAACCCCTTTTAAGGATGTTTTGGTTGTAAATTAAAAGAAGAGACACAATTGAAGGACAGGCACATTATGTCATTGAAATCTTAAAAAAAAAAAGCAACAAAGACCTTATACTAATAATGTGACATATAAAAATGGTTAAACACTTAGCAATCATCGATTAGAATTTCTGGAATATTCCAACTGTCCCTCTCGTATGAATTCCTTGACAAGGGCACCTTTTCAATAGTCAGTTAGGGTCACACATAGACTAATCTTGGCTTAGTGACATGGTAGCTTCATCTTTAGGACAAGTAAACTCTATATGTGTTTATTTTGGTAGCTCTTTTTCTCACCTTTGTAATTACCTTTAATATTATGAACCTCAATTTCTTTCTTTTCTCTAGTGAAATGTTTATCCTCAGTCCAATCAGTCGTTTGATCGCTTTTTATGATCGACTTGTTTTAACTCGCAAGTGCACGAGTGTGCGATATAGCAATTAACTCGGTAAAATCGATGTCATATCCACAAAGAGCTAGATCTGGAAATTAAGCCAGGTAAGAAAAAAACTCAAGAGAAATTAAATTAACAATAACTTGGTTGAAAATAATTGATAGATTTGTTGGTGATTCCTTCAAGATATATAAGATAACTCAACCTAATATCAACAATGATGATATTAGATCGAAAGATTTTACAATAAAGTTTAAAAAGATATCGGAAGATTTTACAATAAAGTTTAAAAAGATGAAGATTGATTATTGCTTAAAAATGAACAAGTACTTTCATATTAAGTAAAACATTGAATCAAACAATCTCTATACCAAAACTAAAGTTTATGCATAAAAATTCAAGCTTATAACATTACCTAAATGATTTCTAAAATTTCCTTACAATAATAAAACATTTATGAAGAAAATGAGAAGATAAGCATTTAGATTCA